CTTTCCTCTGAGGCTGCAAAGCTGACAGCACGAGAGGCTGCTAGAGGCCAGGCGGCCACAGGGAGGGAAAAGCCTGAATGTGAAGCCACATAGAAACAAGCCAATTCCAGAACCAGAGTCCAGAGCTGCTCTTTTTTTTATTTTATTTTAAGATTTATTCATTCAATTTTATTTGTTATTATTCAAATTTGATCAGAGAGAGAGAAAGAGAAGGTAAGAAAGCAGCTGCCAGGTCCAGGACTTGAACTGCGGTTTGCCATGTGGGAGTCCAGCACCTCAACCACCACACCACCTGCTGCCGCCCCAGGAGCTATTCTTAACTACGTGATTTAATATGTTAACATTTTAGTATATGTTGGGAGGTGGGGAGGAGTCTCACCTGAATGGAAACTGGATTTCTGTAATTCTCTTGGAAAACTTCCTAACACAAGAGCCGCCAGAGAGAGGGGCTACATTGGTGCTTTAAAGATGAATAGAAGGGCCCAGGAGCCAAGGAATGCAGACAGCGTCTTGCAAAAGGCGAGGAAACATACTCTTTCCTGGAGGCTCCCTATGGGGAGGCAGCTGGGCAGAGTCCTGTTGGACTCCCACCCACGGAACTGTGAGATAACAGGGCGGTGCTGCCTTAAGCCACCCAATGTAACTTCCTAATATAGAAAGATGTAGAAAGTTTCTGTAAGGATCCCACAGTGTTATCCCTGTGGAATGGAAATGGGGGTGGGAGACAAAAGGAGGGAAGGTTTTATAACTTTAAAACAACAAGCATATATTATGTTAGTTTGCAAAGTTTATTTTAACCATGTTTAAGAATGGAATGAGAGGGGGCCAGCAGGTGGCATGGAGGTTAAGGCAGCTGGATCCCACACCACCGACTTCCTGGTTCAAGTTCTGGACCAGGGAGCTTAAAAATCACACTGGGCACATATGCTTATGTGCCCAAAATTCTGAGAGGAGACTGCAAGAGAAAGGACGGCAGCATGGCCATTCGCCAAAGGGCATGATTTCTCACTTTCGCTCTGTCTGTCTCTCTCCAATGAGTATATGCACTGCATAGCAAAACTAAAAAATGAAAAGAATGGAACTAGAACAAAAACCTAAGAATCACAGGTATTATCACTAACCTAGGTGAACGGAAACAGCAGCTGTTTTCCAAACCTGACAGGGAGCATCAAAGTGGCTTAGATGAAATGCCAACCAGCATCAAACTGTGCTATTTAACATGAGGGGTCAGTCACTGAGCCAGCGTGTCCCCTGCACCCCCTTATCTGGTTAAAGCAAGCTCGGTTCCCCTGAGAGGCGTTCCCTGTTGGGCAGGAGCTGGGACGCAGCTCTAGACTGATTCTTGAAGCTGATTTTCAAAGTTAGCCAGGAGGTATGAAAGCAAAGCCAGAATAGTAACTGGCCTGGGATTATTATCAAATGTCCTTTTCCATGGAAGACCAGCAAATTGTTAACAAATTGCTATGCTGATGAAGAAGTGCCTCGCTCTGCAATGAGCATTTACCACAAGAGAAAAGGCCACTTGCTCGGCCTCTCTGTAGAACGAGCGGCAGCCCGGAGGTGTCCTGCTGCTTCATGTGGAGAGAAGGAAGAGTAGAAAGTGGCAGCTCTTGGGCCAGGCTTCTCTCCAGCCATTCTCCGACGCAGTGCTGGAGACAATGCCAGAGAGCACTGGGGCTGGCACGCTGGCCAAGCCAGGCTTTCTACTGAGGAGTGCCCGGCCCAGAGGTGCGTGCAGGACAGTCCTGAGAAAGCTGTTCCTTTTTTTTTCAATCTGCCAGAGACCATGGACTCTCACAACAGAGACGGAACTAGATAGACGGAGAGGGGGAGAAAGCATGCCCCATGGGGTGTGGTCAGGATGTGATCCCTTCTCCATTTCTCTATCCCATCGGGATTCGGGGCACTCATGTACACATCCCCCATGTTTTCTAAGCCACCAGGGCCAGGATGCAAGTCCCATGGCCCCTTACCTGCTAGGCCAAAGGGCCGACCCTCAAACAGCTTTAAAAAAAGGAAACTATCCACTCTGTTCACTCCCATATCTAATAAGCAAAGGTGATTCTCACACTGAACTCGTACCTTTTTTAGACTCAAGTCATTTCATGCAGACAAGAGAAGCCAGTCTGATGTGTTCTGTGAGCTGAGAGGAAGGATAGTCCTCAAAGTGCTGTCGCAGAAGGATATGCCAGAGGACAACAGCAGCAAAGGTTGCAGCCCAAGCCAACCCACTGCTGGCCAGCTTGGCCACTTCTCAGGTGCAGTCCAGGGGAAGAAATGGCCATGATCTGTTTCCAAGGCGTGTTTCCCTCAAACTCACCCAAGAAATCTATTTCTTTTTTATCTTCCTTCTTTTCTACCTTCCTCTTTGTAGTTTAAAAAAGCTACGGCTGAGGACCAGTAGTTAGTGTAATGGCTGTCGCTGGACTCCCACGTAGTTGACCGCAGTTCGAGTCCCGGATCTGGTGGCTTAAACTCAAGTCGGGCGCGTGTGCGTGTGCATGCATGCCCAAGATCCCGAGAGGAGAATGGAGGAGAAGGGATTGCGGCATGGCCATCCCTTCTGGGGGGTGATTTCTCGCTTTCTGTTTCTCTGTCTCTGTCTTTCTGGCGAGTGCACGCGCCCTATAGCAAAAACCTCTCAAAAAAACCCAAAAAACAAAAAAACTATGGCTGGCCTAGCCA